TTTCCAGTCATACCTTGTTTCATTGATTTCTTATTTTCTTTTTGTTTATCTGCCCGTATTGGTCGTAGCGTGAGGATATATGACACCTAGCATTTCTTGAATAAATGGACTATTCGAATGAATGAATTTCCAAAATCCGATCAGTAGAATTCTGGAGATTACTCCAAATATCTAATAATGTGTAATAGGTAGTGCGAGTAGGTAGGTGTATTTCTTAAAAGATGTCTGTTTGCATACTCACGTCTAAAACACTGAACTAACCGATTAGACTAGTGATAGTTATTTTTGGTCGCAAAAAAATATAATTTTGTAAGTTTGTACCGTGCGAGGAATTTAACCCGCGACCATCGGTAGTAAGGCGGTGAACTAAAGTACTAGGTGGGTACTACGTTACCGAAGCATCGAAACCTAATAAATATATGAAAATAGAGCCGAATAAATACAGAGGCCGCATGGATTTATTCTTTAAGTATATATAATACGAGTATATTTATAATTTCACTACCCATTTAGGTGAATTTAATATCAAATTTGATTTATATATAGATTATAGATTTATATATAGATATATTTATATATACTCTGAATTACACAGGAAAGACGGTTTTTGAATGTAATAAAAAAACTATAGGTGTACTGTATTATTAGTTTATTTTATAACTTAGGAACTTTGATATAACAATACCTCGTTTATTTAAACAATTCCAATTGAAATTATATTCTATTTAAGCAGTGGCGGCGTTAGGCGTCAGCGACGAGGGGGCCTCGCCAAGTTTTTAATTATTTAAAATTTAGTTATACATTTTTATTTATTTTCAGACATTAAAAAGTGATTAGTACTTTACTAGATTTAAATATACCCTCGAGGCCTCGCGAACTCTAATTTGGCCGACGTCCACGCGTGGTCTAGCGCCGCCACTGTTTTAAGTAGAAAGAAATAGAGTGCACTTCACGAGGAACCCCGTGTTAACAGTTATAGGTATAAATGTTTATTTCTATATAAGGAGTATAAAAAATACAATTACAATAAATCAATTTTGTTTAGGCATGTCATCATTTTTATAGGGCTACTACATTTTCAAGCATTGCTTGCCAAAAATTTGAGTGTTTGACAAAGATAGTCGAAGCAATGAGCAGTTCGCTTGATCAAAATAATCTGTCAAACACATAATTTAGTAACAAAGTATAAAAATTAACAAACAATGCTTTATACCGTAGCCCTTTACAGTTTTTAAAAAATATTACTTATATTAAAGATAGTCTTTTAAAGACCAACGTTACAAAGCCAATAAGCATAAAATATTTGCAATTTATTCTTTCAATAGAAATTACAAAATGGGAAATTTGTATAATAACAAAATTTGATTAGGCCTAAAATTCTTAATACCTAACAATAACCTAAGCTTACAATTCGAAAACTGATTTTGTGGGTTTAAATAAAATTTTTTTTTTATAGTAGTTACAGATATTGTATGCAGTGTTATATTGGTTTTTAATAGGTATTTAATTCTTGGAAAATTAATATTTGCTATTATGGTAATTATTTAATTTGGTTTGTAGTATTAAATATTACAGAAACTATTGCGTAATAATGCGTAATGTATAAAACGCAGAGATGCGAAGGTTACTCAATACCTGAAATGGGGGTTGATCCACTCACTCAAGGTATATACCGTATTAGATATGTTTGAATGCAATGATGGCTGGCTCATCCGTCATGCTCGTGAACGGGTGTTGCTTGTGGGGACGGGTCAGTTCGGGTACGAACACTGATTAGACTATTTGCTTTAGCAACAACATATGCTGGTGGTAATAGTATTCTCCCAAATATGATTTTAAAAATGAATCTGTATTATTGCAAATATGTACAACATATTTGAAAAAAATAAGAGCTATGTTTCTTGTCAGTTCTTCTCATCTCGAAATCATTCCGGACTGACGGTAGCATTGACATATAATAAGCGTCTGTAATAGACCTACATGAATAAAGATATTTTGAATTAGAATTTTATTTTAAACATTCATGTTTTCATTTAAATAATGTATTTAAATAATTAAAATATTATTTTATACGGTTATATTGGTATAAGTGCAGTGTTTGTTCTTCTAAACAACTATCATTAGTAGTAGTAGAAGTTCTAGTTATTAGATTGGCTTTTAAAAAAAAACAAAGAATAGTTACCCTATTTTGCACAGGTTTAGGTAATACATTAAAAATATATTTGTAGACATAGACATGGCGTAGGTAACAAGCTATCATTCATATATAAAACAGCATTCTATTTTTACTACCTACTACTTCTTTACCTTCGCCAAATTTATCTCTTTTAATTATTATTTTAGTACAATAATATTAAAAATGTATATCATTAAAAATACACTTACAAATAATTATACTTATAAACACTAAATGCAATGAGAGCTTACATGTTCGGCTCAATGAAACAATTTTTCTAATGTAAATACATACTTTAAAGACAGACACTTAAAGAAATTGTAAAATTATTCAGAAACTAGATACACGTGTTAAGTGAACATTGCAGACATAAAATCTATTATAGACCTAAATGCATAAGGCCTACGTAGTTAAGGTATAGTCTCGTTTTTGTTATTTCGGCAATTCGACCAATTGGAAAAATTATTAATAATTTATTAAGACTTTAATGGCAAGTAACAAATAGGTATACCTACCTACCAACTTAATACGTGTATATTATTTCAGAAATTTGTTTTACTTCTTACTAATATTTAATTTATAAATGTACATGAATTTAATTAACTTAGTATTATTTTAGTCTTTAGATAATTGTTTCGATTTCATCCGGAAGCAAATCCGAGGCGAACTGTAGGTACTGTTGCCAATGCATTCTGCTCGCCCTGAACAAGACTTCACATACACAGACAAAGTCAAAACACTTACCGAAAGATGAAAACATAAGCAACTTAAATTCCTGTACATCGTAATAAAATATTAATTTATGTACATCTTACAATCTGGCTTATATATGATCAGACTGCTTGTATTTTAAACACGAGCGATATATAAATAAGAGCAATATACTAGTAAAAAGATATTTCGAGGCCCTCTATTGTTATCTTCGCTGGCTTTACCAGTTATTCGAATAAGAAATAAATTGTGTAGATTATAAAACTATATAACTTTATTAACGCATAATAGCCTAGTTCCTTCATTTTCATTGTAAATATTAAAAAAAAACCTCTTTAATTTGATATTTATAAACATAAAATATATGTTATACTAGATTCAAATTAGTATCTAACTACCTAGTTATATAGGTATTCATTTATAGGTATTTTATAAAATACCTATAAATTAATGTCTTTGTGACCGTTTTAATCTCGCAGGCCACTAAACATGCTACATCGTATTTGTCTTAAACTCCTTATTCGTTGAAACTAAAACCTTCCACAAACTAACTTTACCAATCATAGTGTTTTGTACTTTCTTACAAACTAAGAGAAATAGTAGGTAAGAAAACAATAAAACAGTTCAAGTTAAAACATATGTATAAAAAGTTGATGATGAATAAATTATTATAATAACTAAATGAATATTAACGAAATGAATATTAAAAAGATGCTTCTTTAATATAGTTACTTATAGAATACAAGCGAGAAATAGATAAAGAGAAGAAATAAAACTTAACCATAAAAAACAACAAAGAAATGCTTGTAATATCAAAGCCATAAGAAAACAGTTAAACAATAACACTAAAGAGTAGAAATAAATAATAAAAAAGAAACACTCACACCAGTCGGATTCGCACACCGAGGGTGGTCTTTTACTATCCTTTTGGTATTATACCCAAAAATTTAACTGAGATTTTCATTTTCATTGGTTTAGGGACAACAGTACGTAAATCTATTTTAAATTTGATTTGAATCTAGAACATCAGTAGAGATATAAATAAAACTTTTATACGTGTTAAAGAACACACACACACACGAGGTACAATAGTATACCTAAAGGAAAAGATGCATTACATGTCTGTTAACAACGTACAGTATAGGTACATCGCCTATACGCAACAAAGGCAGCACCTCCTTATATTGTTTGCTCAAGCAGCGAACTACTAAACTACTAATATTCCTTTAATGCCCAGGGAGGTACGCGAGGACGCATGCAACAAGAAGCCGCATCCAACCGTATTCAGTATTTTCAAAAATACCTACAGTATTATTATAATTTAATTTATTTAACATATTTATTTCATCCCCATACCTCAATATATCAAATTAGGTGGGAACATCATGCCATCATCGATAACAAATTAAATATTATACTGTCATGTCTACCGACATTGAGCATTTGAGAATTAGAATAAAAAAATATGTACCTATATAACATATAAACCAATAAATAGCATAGACTTAATATAGCAATAAGACAATACATAATATAAATTTTAACTAAGTAGTTATGTACTCTGGGTACCTATTTTCATTCCGATATAAATGTAGTTGTAATGTTAGTTGCTTACTAACAATATATTTGACTACTGTGAGAAAGTAAATATGAAATGCTTTATAATTAAAAATTTAAGCACTGACGGTAGCTTTAACATGTCATTAGAGTTTGTAATTCAAAATATCTTTATTCATGTAGGTTTACTACATGAATAAAGATATTTTGTATTTTAATTTTCTTTTAAACATTCTTGTTTAAAGTTTATAACACTAATTACCTCCTTTTATTTATTTCTTATTCGAATAACATATCGGAATTGTAGTAAAATATTTTGCATTTTTTTTGTTCATTTAAGATAATAATTTAATTATACAGCACCGGAGTTATTCGACATCGAATATCGATTACATTATAAGGCCTCGGTTTCAAAGCTTTAGTACATAATATAGCAATGATAATAATAAAAAGTACATTTATCAGACACATTGTCACTGGTCACTGTTTATCACTTATCATGTACTTCCATTTCCTGGCTACCTAGTGGCCAAATAATTTGTCATAATACATTTGTTAAATATATATGTATCTTCTGTCAAAAGGATACACACACATATACTGATATGGGCATGTATTTAAAATAAGGCAAATTTATTTCTAAGGCGATATATTGTTTTTGTATTGTGGTAATATTATCATGTACCTATATATAATATTTTTACTATGTTATTAGCATACCGTGTACTGATACAGAATTTATAAAATATATAAATTGTAAGTCATTTAAAACAAAAACACTTATTCTAATTGTTCTTGACATCACAATGCCTTTTCATCCCATTAGTTCTAATTATAATATTTTAGCGTGGGTTTTGGACGAAAAAATTTTATGATGTAATCCAGTCACGGGTACCCGATTAAACATTAGTACATCGAATTCACATTACGTTCATAATTGGGAATGTAATCGAAATATTTCTACTTCAAATTTTATACAAGCACATACACAAACAGTGCAATTAAAAAGAAAAAAAACAAGTATAAAACCTACAGCATGTCTTTGGGACAATAATGCCGAATAAATGTTTAGTAACAATGCAATAAATAGCACTATTACTATTTTTATGTCTATAATAAACTTCACTCCATTCAAAAGTATACCGAAACATTCCAAAACTTTAACTAAAAATTTCAGGATTATAAGTAACTAAGATCTCTTAATTCTTGTTTAGATGTCACATGTTGGTGTACACCAACATTGATTTAATTCCGGTTGTATTTTCTGCTAATATTGATTTATTATATTTATAACAGCATCTTTCGTACCGAATACGAGTGCAAACATGCCGAAAAGGAAAACTAGAACGTTCTTCCAGATTAAGAACTTGCAAGGGCCGAATCCAATATCCCAGTAGGTTATAACTTCTATGAATGCCGGTGCTATAAGACCAAGAAGAGAGAAGCAGAAAGCGCCAATGACGCCCATAAACGGACCAATCTGGGGTACAGCGACGGCTAGCAGTACGCATACCGTTACCATTATCGTTCTCATGATGTAGTCGGCGAGATCGGGCCGTTTCGTGAACTTATCCTTGATGCTGTTCCACATTATTTCAATGCAGACGAAGAACTGAAGGCCAAAGGTGCAATAAACGGCAATAGCGATAGAGATGTTGACAATTTGCGCGGGACTGCAATAAAAAGAAAACAAGATAAGAATTCAGTTGATAATTTGGAAATAATATACTGAAGCACTACTATTGGCATTATTAATCGGTGGTTTTTGATTTATTTATACTGAATTATTTATTTTAATTGAATTTATACTGAATATATTAATATTGTTGTATAAGAGTAAGCACCAAACAGTAGGTATAACCTTTAAAAAAAATTAAATGTATAAATATAAGTAATAAATTATTAGCTTACATGTCACTGTCTTGCAGATTGAGTGTGATAGAATCTTGGACATTTTCACCAAACCGGAGATAACCGAGGAATCCAAGGAGAATATACACGAAGGTTACACCGGACATGCCTTTGTTGAGAACGCCACAGAAGCCGAGCATAGCCTGGGGAGTTTTCATAGCGTTCTCTAATGGCATCATTACGCCAATAGCTTCCATGGCGAATATACTCAGCGAGAAGAAATCCGGCCATTGCGCTGGTGGTTTCACAAGCATATTCTTTATATTATCCACGTCCAATTCACCGGTTCCCACTAGGTAATAGAAAGTTATACCGAGGCCAGTTCCCATGAATATGTTGGCGATCATTGAAACCGGTGCCAGATATTTTAAGTTGCGGATCCAAGCCATCAGAATAAGTGGTATTAGAAGTATTATTATGAATATTCTGATTTCAATATCTTTTTCTGGAGTATCCATATAATAGGCCACAACCTGAAATTATATTGGTTAGGTAAATAATAAAATCCTCACTTTTATTTTATATTGGTAATCATATTATATTAAACTTGTTTCTAAAATATTAAATATGACATTTTTATACATTTATTAATCAGAGTGCAACATAACGAAATGTCAGAAACTAAAAATTGAGAATATTTTAGATCTAAGATCACTAACTAATGCTTAATATTTTTAAAACCTCTACGTTTATGAATAAAATATTGTTTATTTTGTATATGATTCATACCTTTAATATATGCTTGGATATCATGACGGTGTAAACCGAGCAGGTACCGAAATAGGTCAGGAACAGACTCACAAGTATAAATATTCTGAAAATTAGGAATAAAATCAGCATCGTGTAATTGTTGATAGTGTAACAAGCTTTACATTGAGTATTTGTTACTCATTTTAGAGACAAATTTCATTATAATATTATACCTAAAAGAATTAGCGAATCTTCTTAAACTCTGTGGTCCATTTTCAAGTGCGGCTTCACCTACTTCTGGGAACGTCATTGCAGTTTTCTTCGTCTTATTGTATAATACATGGGCACACTTGATCTGCAAAGGATGATTATTAACTATAATCTTTTATTCATTTCAATCAATTTCAATATTAATAAATCTACCAACTACTGTATTATATATACCAATAATCTAGGCAGTAAGGCATCTGCCTTACTGTCTAGGTTATATGGTATGGTATGGAGCCTTCACACACATCTATAAATTTCACGCGGGTGAAACCGCGGGCACAGCTAGTAGTATAATAAATAAGCAACTCTCTCTGTACTCTCGCTGTATGTGCATGGAAGATATATGAGTCAAACTATTACTGGGAGAATTTATCAACATTACAGAACCAAAAACAACGATTGTAAAAAAAAATTGTCTTAGCGTTTACGCGCGCTTATCTCAGAAATGGGTTAACGATTTAGGCATGGTTTTCACTAATGTAAGCTTCACTTAAAATTTAGAATTTGTTTGTAATCGACTAGATACTGGTACTAAATCGCGGATAGGCGCCCAGCTAGTAGCAAATAAAAAAGTAAATCGCAAAGCACGCAGAAAATTGTAACAATACTTCGCGACGATATGTTTTTTGGTGAAATTTTGGTTTTTGTTGTTATAGATTTCGTTTTGCCAATGCAAAGCGGTAAAGTAAAGCTATTTTAACACATATAATACGCATTGAACTAAAAATTGCCATCGGTAAATCTAAATAATTCCTACAACAACCGTCCATAATAAGAAAGTATCATTCATGTATAGAGTTGAATATCTATTATACCTACGCAAAAGCCTCAATGTTGTTTCTGTTCTAATTAACATAAGTATCCAAGTTATTGATTATTTAATGGTTTTGTACCTTATTGATCTTTCAGTCATAGCCAATTAACAACTGTTTGAATAACCTTTCATAAAATAACAATTAAAATATAAATTGGCATATACTTACAAGTATATAGGAGCAGTGTGTGCAGACGACAGCAACAAGAATTGTGAAGAAAACTCCGGATACAAGACCCACGCATTTGAATGCTAAGGGCATTGCCAGAATTCCAGTACCGAGAGACGCCTTTAGAAGATGGGTCAGGGTATCATTGTTTCTGGAATTGTTAAAAAATAACAATAAATATACACACTACTAGTCGCATTTAGCGGTTTAAATGCATTTTATTCAATGTAAAATAATATTATATGTAAAAGAATAATCTTGAACATATTATTAGTAAAAGAACAACAATTACATACAAGCCAACTCTACGAATTCTCTTACACTTAACTTCCTGGCTTCATGACTGAGGCAAAAAATTGTAACAGGTACCTATACTATGTATATTCATTGTACATTTTCACTAACAGGAGTAAAAAATCATTACATTGAAATGAAGAAGTTGAACAGTTTTTATAGACTAAAAGGTTAATGTAAAGAAATCGTTCTAAGCAGTTTTATAGCGTTCAACAGAGTTATTCTCTAGACATTTTTGTTCAAGGTAGATATTCCAAATATTTTGATATGTACCTATCTACTCCTAATCTCGCGAGTCATAAATAAGTTAATTACAAACAGGATATCGTATAGTAATTTTGCTCTAGCTTTGGGTACAAATAATACCTTGAAATTAAATTGGATATGTTCGCCGTATTATCTGAAAACACGGTTGCCTATCTATAATATATTTCGTAAGGTAAAATTAGAATTCGCAGATGCTATGTTGTGACTTTAGTATAAAATTGTTCTGTCTAGTTAAATTAAATAACAAAATGGAAATTTCAATCCACAAAATATTTGTAATGGATGATTAGCGTATAGCGTATAGACCCGCCTATGCTAACGGTATACGCTGGCTAGTTGAACATGATAATTGAGGATCGGACTCCCTACCTTGCTAATTAATGAGGAATCGCCATCAATTCCGTGGTTAGTATTCCTCATTACAAATAATCATTTCCTCACACCACAGTTAGAATCCTAACTGTGGTGGGAGGGGGGAGGGTAATTCATTTTTACGTTTAATTTACATAGATTAAATTAATGAAACCTATATAAATATAAATTCCTTTCAATTGTCTAGAATTATGGATATGTATAAAAATAATATTTGTTAATAGACTTTGTTTTCGTTTATTCATTCTTGAGATAAATGAATTTATTGTTTTTAATTAATTTAAATAATACAAAATAGTGCGTATAGATATATAATATGATCGTTAGCGAAATGTTTTAATCTGAATCTTAACTATTGGCATTCTTGTCTCTGTGTAGCTTATGTTAGTCTGTACTAATATTTAAATATAAAAATCGGGCGATATAGTCATATGTCCCTCCCTGAACAATATTTATACTTACGAAGTAGGGTTTTCCAATTTTCGTTCCTTGAAGGGATCAAATTCTCCAATTTCTGCATCCTTTGTCATGTTATATCTAAGAAAAAAAATTATAAACATGTATAAGTATTGTAATTACTTATGTAAATACAAAAAATACTGAATTAGGTACAGCAGGGAATATGTAAGATATATTTGAAAATTCATACTATACAATCCTAGTAATAAGGCTATTACGATATATTAAATGTAGTGTAATTAAGTAATAATTCTAAAAAAATATATTGATTTCATATGTTCTACGCAAAAAATAATTTTATCTCATAATTATAATAGTTATAATAGCTGTAACTACTCTGATTTGACTAGATTTCTATTCATATTTATTGATAATTTCTCTCAATTGAAACAGTTTTAAGAACCCACAACAAATTCGTTAAAATAAAATAATAGAAATCTGTCATGGCACTACATTTTTAGAATTCCTAGCCTTCTAAATTGAAAACAGTTAAACAATTATAGATGAATTACATTGTGCATGTGCTAGCTAATATTAGGTTTATGTTAGGTTATCTGTATGACATTAGGTTTATGTCTATGGCATTACAATTATGTTAAAGTAGATTTTGAAGAACTTACGTGCTGACAATTTTTTCTCTGCTCTTTTCTTCTTCTTCTTTCCCCAAGAATTTCTCCATTTCATGAGGGGCCGGTAGGCCGCCGTTTGAATCCTGTAGATGGATTTAGATTAATTTCCATACGGCATTTACAGTGTACTTGAGGTTTTAACAATATTCCTCAAAGTTTGAAAGTCTTGTGTCATTTAGATAGTGATGATTTATTACGTAAGTGAAATGTGAATCTTTTTGAATGATGTTTATGCAATTTACAGCTACATAACAGAATTTACAGTAAGCAAATCCCGAGAAGAATTAAAGTGATTGATGAGTCTAAACGTTGATAAACTAAAAGATAAATGTGCCTGATATATTGTTTAAAAAATTGTTTTTCTTTTATGAAAGCTTCTCGAGCCACGACCCTTTATTGTAGTATACTGGCAGGGACAACTTAAATAGCTATGTGAAATGTTGAAACATTTACAACATTTATCTAATATTGTAGATAGTAGATTCTGAGACAATATCAATACCATAAAGAAATCAATACTTACGTATACCATTTTTGTATTATTAATATCCTTGTAGTGAAGAAATTGCTGCTTATATGCAATCTGTAAAGAAGCAAAGCAATATTTTATTACACTGAGTATTACATAGATAGTCGTAATTATTACTTTACGGGAATTTATAGATTGCATTCTTTTATGTAGGACACATTATATCTTAGCCACCTTCTTTTATTTAAAGTCTTTTTTAGTAACTTACATAATATTTTAATTTGTGTTTAGAAAAATTTCAGTACTAGGTATATATATACATATATATATTATCATAATATATGTATTTGATGATATAGTAGATGATGATGGCGGTAATCTTGTGATACAAGTTAAGATGTTTGCTGAATATCTTCTATTAAGCCATCATGAGATTATTATTATAAATATCTATTTGATTGATTATAATACGTATCTATTTATCAATTGTCAACATACACTTTAAAGTTTTATATCATATATATATAGTGGAACATTTATTCTTAATATTTATCACAAGTCATTATACACTTGAGAGAGATAAATAGTAAAACAATTGACAGTTTGAAGGATAGTGGATATTGTATGCCATCTGTAGTGTACTGTTCGTGATATCACTGTAAATACAATTATTTATATACAAATACCAACTAATAAATAATGTATGACCACGACTGTATTGTTGAAGAGGAAGTTATTGTACAGTTATATATATATAATTAGCATTTTTTGATAAATACTTCGTGCCATAGATCTATACAATTAATTAGAACCGAAATGTCTATTTTTAATTTCAAATTGACAGTTCGTACTAAACGCATATACGCACGAAAGTAAATACTGGAAAGTCATAAAAAATGTTTAGAAAATATATTATCTGTCTGTAGCTGGACCGATTTTGATAGAACTTTCACTTGCACAAAAGTCTAAGTACATTTGTTTAAGATTTTTTTTATTAATAAAAGATTCAATCTACGTTCTAGAAGTCGAGAACATCCGCTGGTTATGTATAATAATGGATTGACTCTACGTTAACAGTGAAAAAATGTTTTGAATTCTAATTCAATAACTGAATATTATGTATAGTCTATAAATACATTTATAAAGAGTAAATTTCAGAATCTCAATAATATAATAGTAATATTTCTTAAATATATTACAGATATGCCAAGATAAAATATAGTTCAGGAAAATTACAAAAAAAAGAGTGAACACGAAGTGGATACAACCATACCACCCTGCTATCCGCGTATTTGTCTGTTTGTAAGATAAAAGGTGATCTGTAAGACCTTGTGATATAGTTTATCTTTACGTCAAATATCATTAAGATCCATTCACAGTTTAATAGTAAAAAAAACAACAAACATATTAACAGACACTCTTCAATATCTAAAATCTACACTCATATTAGGTATATATGTACATCACTGCATAGTATTAAACAAAGTCGTTGTCGCTGTCTGTTCTTATGTATACTTAAATACTAATCTAATGATAAACCATATTACAGTAGAACATTATGCTGATTTTATGGGTTCGTTCTCTTTACCAAAAATTTATAAAGTTAATAAATAATTAGGTACTAAATTCCTGTAATGACTTCAATTTGCTAATTTAATAAAAAAATTATAGCCCGCTAAGACATTGCTGAATTCCACACGTCTCATTTCAGGTCGAGGACGATATTGTAAGTATGAAATTAACATGAAAAGCAAATACTGTTTTACCTCTACAGCAATATTCTAAACGCAGATTTTTTTCAATATTTTATAGTAGCATATTGGTTTTATTTGTTTTATTATGTTGGTCTGGCTATGTGTACCTATGTATATGCAACTCTGTACACATGCATACACGCTACCAATGCCTATGAATAACCAATAATTATATGGATACCCAAATAAGAAAACGAATAATACTTACTATACATAAATATAATATAATGAGTATGAATAAGAATGATTAGAATAAATAAAAATTTAATAATTATACGTATTTATATGATTAAAAATATGCATATAATATTCTTAATTTTGGAAATAAAAGGGTTATTTATTTATATTATTTGTAATGTATGTTAATTTCAATAATATTTACTCAATAAATTTATATTACTATTATTATAGTCGTATGAAAGTGTTAACTATTAGGTACTGAAAGAATACCATCCTAATATTTTAAAATATTATGTCTATATAAAACTTTCTTGCTGAATTGCAAATATCCCTGTTTTTAATAATCTATTGGTTGTACTCTGTATACGAATAAATTAAATACTCTAATATACGAACAGCTGCATGATACAAATCAGAAAGATGATGATACCTACCCAGATCATTTGACCAACGAAGCTTTACTATCTGATACCAGTACAGTTATACGGTATTTAATATTCATTCGTAATATCTTTTGTTTAAAGAAAAAAATTAAGATAAATTATTATACCATGAGGCCGACTGCAAAAAAGTGAGGCGTAGTAGTCGATTTGAAAACTTGTTTCGTCGGTCATTGACATCAATGAATACCGGTATAACTAAATGCGCAAAAAATATTGTAGATGTCGAGCACGATGAGAATAGCCTCAACTATTACAAATATTCATAGAACAAAATAATAAAAAAAAGGAAATGACATACATTGGTAAAATTGCTTAGTAAGGAAGTTTGAAATCGAAGCAATGTATGTAGTAATGGTAGGTATGTAACACAATACCAGTGTACCTAATTGTAATATGGTATCAAGTCACCTCTGTTGAACCGTTCCGTTTTGTTATTCAAGTCAAGATATACGCTGACGATCGTCTTCCAGTGATAGTAGGCCACTCAATCAATATGCGTGCAAGTATGCATAAAACTTCATCATTTATATAGCATGATTATGCACCAAAACATTAAACATAGTACGTAATAGTAATTAAAGTGGAGAACAATTATAATTTTGTACTTTTTCTAACAAAGAAAGTAGGTATACTTGTATACAGTCCGCTCTGCTGTATCTCATTCATTGAAATTTTTCTTTTATTACAGAGGTATATTGTAATAAAAATTAGGGTATAACGTTAAATGGAAACTTGCATCTAGAAATAGGTACCTATCTACTTTTTGCTACGTCTAAAGCAACTAACAAAATATTTGATACAAAATGATTTCACGGTCCGATGACTGTTTTCTGAAGGTGGTAGTTACAATGCGAAAATGGCAACTTTCGACACACAACGGTTTTATAATCGCAATTCAGTAGATTATATTATAATGTAGATAAAATGGATCTTAGATGAAATAAATAGGTAATAAATTCCATAAAGAAGTTTATTATACCTATATTTTTAGGGAACCAAACCAAAAAGGTAAAACTCTCTGTCCAACTACCACAGCATTATTTTTATTTCAGACTCCAGGCCAATTATATTAATAAAAAATAAATAAAATACCTTACCACCCTAACTATCCTTTATCGCAGAATACAATTTCGCGTATTTATGAAATTTTAAAATAATCTTATAATAGTATCAAGTAGATACTATTATAAGAGATCATGTCAAATATATCTGTTAATATCGCATATGTACCGTTAATATAAATAAAATGAAAGAGGTAAGAAAGAATAATAGAGAAATAGATGCTCTGACATTTCAAAAGATTGTTGTATAGAGAAACATGATTAACTGTGTATCTGTCTATCAAACATACGTTACGTATCTATCATAACAGATTTTGTACATGAGATACATTACTATAAAATTATTATATACAGAAGATAAGAATACGTACTAATATAATACAATTAAAAACGACCGTTTAAAAAGTTTGAAAACTATATATATTATTTATACGGAACTCTCGGTACACGAGTCCGACTCAATATTTTGTTTGTATAGGTAATAACCACTACTTATTTCGCACGTCGTAGTATGCGGGTGACGGTAGACATTTTAAAACTTTATTGTAAACGAATTGTATTTAGTGTATTTTTACATTACAATTGCTGTTATCTTATAATAAATTCGTTTTGTTATGAACAGCCCTCTGAGACTATTAATAAAATGACTTACGTTTTAGTAATTTGTATTCGTATCATTGGCACAATGTTCGAACGGTATTTTTTATTGTTCCTCACAATAAAAAATGTGATTAGATTTATGTACAGCTTTAAATTTCTCTATGTACCCTTCACCTACAGTCGTAATACCTCCGCACCAAAGACAATAGAATAAAATAGAATATTAATGTTTATAGCCTTGTATTGTAATGGTAACGGATTTAAATAAAACAATTCTTTTCATCAACTAAAGCAGACTTATGCTATTAATAGTTTATAGCAATCGACGTGAAGTTAATAAGATATAGTGTTATGTTTCTAAGTTAAAAAACTGTTATTTAATAAGAAACGTGTCTGTCTTTATTGTTACATTTTCACGACTAAACAATTACATTTGACAAATTTCCAAATCAATGTCGGAATCATTCATTAGTGTCCAATGAATGATTTCGACATTGATTTGAAAAATTTGAGTCTTAAATCAGTCCCGTTTTCTTATACCATGTAAATCTATGTTTTATAAAACCATTCTTTTAGATTATATTCTCTGCTACTAGAATTAATCAATCGTGAAACGAGAACAACAATGTCAAAGATATGAAAAATGAAATACATAAATATCAGCCTCAAATGGATTTGTAATTGCTGAGAAAAACGTAGATGACGTCGCGAGTTTCTGTCAGTAAGATAATAAATTGAAACTTCAATTGAAATCCAGTAGCAATTTGATACCTCGTATAGAGATAATGTCTATAGCATTAATAATCATTTTCATAATCAGGTGTGTAATAATTTTATTCTCTTATTCCTAATTATGGACTATGCCGTATGATCTACATGTATTAATGGAAACTTGACACATTATTTTTGTTGCTAAAAATGAAATATTAGTAATAGATTATAACCTATGATACTATTAATACAAAAGATTTTACATATTACTTGTATTATTGTGATAAACGTGTTTCTCAAATATATATTATATATACACAGAATAAAAAATTAATAGGCCGAACTCTATAGCGGTATATTAAAGA